AGGTCAGAGGCTGACGTCCCCGCGCCGCACTCCTGCGACCCGGAGCAGATGTGAGACGGGGCTGGCCGCATCCTGGTCCTACCGCTCGGGGCCTCGCTCCTCACGTGCCCTGGCAGGGAGCAGATAGCACCGGTTTCCTAAAACATGCACGGCGGACACGCGTGCATGGGCAGGAGATGTGTTCCTTCCTCTCAAGCCCCCGCCTTCCTTCACAGCGGATGCTTCGGGTAATATTAATATTCACACTAAAATTTCTCAGATCCTGAGGGCTGGGCTGGCTTTGGTCGCCGGCAGCCCCAGCCCTGGCTATCAGGGAAGTGTGTGGTCCACGGGGGTGAGCAGCAGGCCCTGGTACCCGCCGAGACCCCCAGTGTCCTGGGGCCCTGGAGGTGCTGGCCTGGGGGCCTCCGGCGGTTTTCCCGTCAGCCCCAGAGCTTCCCACGGGCCCTGGGCCAGACACGGCTGTTTGTTGATTGAGCAAATGAAGATGAATATTAATATTCAGTCGCTAACGCCGGGGGATGAGACGGCCCACTTGAGTAACTTCTTCAGATAATTGAAACCCCATCGGTTCACGCTAACATTGCCCACCCGCTCCGCAGACAGAGCAGACCCGCTGCTGTTCAGCAGAGGACAGCCGCGCACCGATTGCGGGCTGAGCACCGGCAAGGCCGCGAGGGCCTTTCTGGGGAGACACAAGGACCGTGGGTGGGAGACGGACGGGGCCGATTCAGCCAGAAGCTGCTCCCAGGACCTGCGCCGGCGTCCCAGCCTCTCCCTCCCGGCCGCAGGCCCAGGCACGCAGCTGCAGCCTCCCAGCGCCTCCTCCAGAGCTTCTCCCTCTGGGCTGTCATCAGCAGCCACCTCTTAATTAGCAAAATAAACAGCATGATGATAAATGTCATGATTTACTCAGCAAATGATCAAGATCATTGTTTTTGCAGCCCCCAGGGCAAGAAAACGCAATCACAGGGCGATTTATTCCAGAGGGTGGGCTTTGGTGTCAGCAGGCGGGTGCGATGTTTGGGGAGAAATGCAGCCACGTCCAGATGGGGGGCTGGTCTCGGTGCCCCCAAACCCGCCCCAGCGGGGACCATGTCTGTGCACAGACACCGCCAGGTCCCGGCCGGAGCACCTGACGAGGGCGTGTTTCCTTCCGTGCCGGTGAGCGTCCCATCCTGGTGTGCCCAGCGCCCAGGAAAGGGCGTTAGATGTGGCCTGTTCCCATACGCACACGGGGTGGAGGGAGGGAGATGGCCTCCCTCCAGAGGGAGAAGGGGGTTCACGGCAAGGAACTGGGCGGGGGACGTCAGTCCCGAACACCCCGAGTTCCTGCTTTGCTAACGGAACGCCTATTCCCACAAGAAGGACGTGCAGGACGGACGCCAAAGCTGCTGCCACCTCACGTGCCGCACGACCGACCCTGCTGACCCCACCGACCCCCGGTCATGGGTCATCTTTGTCAGCGCCCACCCCCCGGGGGAGAGAAGTACTTTCACCCTGGGTGCGAGTCACCTCAAAGCCACAGGTTGCCAGGCACCGTGTCTCTCGTCACAGAGAGGAAGGGAATGGGACCTTCTCACCGCAGGTCAGTCGCGTGGTCCGAGCAAGAACACCGGCCTCAGAGTAGGAAGAGGCTGATTTCCACGTCCCCAGTGACAGTAAGATAACCAGCGTGACTTTCATTTCAAACGTGTCCTCTGAGAGTGGCCTGTCCTGAGCCTGCAGCAGCCCCCTCTGGTCTAAGCCCCTGCGGATTCGACTCCCAGCCCCCCAGGAACAACTGCGCCTGGGAGCTCAAAGCGGTCCCCAAACCCAGCTCCCGGCCACCCCTGGGGCGGCCAAACCCTTGCTGGAAGTGGATCAGATTTTACTGTCATCTTTGCTGGTTCTTTTCAGAAAATGAATATCGTATAAATTATAGTAAAATCAAATCACTCTGATCCGTGAAACTGCATCCCCAGTGTGAGAGGGAACAATTACACACATAGAAGTCAGGACCGCCGTGAGAGGACACTCGTGCCTCCCTGGGACCTGCCCTGTGGCAGGCCTGGGCCGACCCGGGTGCCCCGTGGCATGGCGCTGCGCACTGGTATTCCTGGGGCGCCGCATCCCGGCCTGCTCTGGGCTGAGCTCACTGCAGGAGCACGGGTGGTGGGGAGGGGGCCTGGGGGCTTCCTGGGGGGTCGGCAGGTGGCCCCTCCTGCCCAGAGCCAGGCAGAGGCCCCCGCCCTGGAGTCGGCCCCATCGCGGCCCTGTTCGTCGCAATCAGAAGACAAGGCCCACGTCAGGGCAAGAGCCAGGATAAGGCCCCAACAGATGGCACCTACACGTCACTTCTCCTGCCTGATCTGCCGTTCACACCCGGAGAACCCAACACACAAAGCGAAACAGCAACCGACTGCTCCAGCACACGTGTGGAAAATTCCGGTAAGGCGGCCCCCAAAGTCCCAGCGGAGACCTCAGGAGCTAGGAAGAAGCCACTTTGAGCAGCATCACTTATTTCAAGCAGAAGTGGCCACGCCCCGAGTATTCGGGCTTCCTGCTGCTCCTCTTCCTCCTGCACCGGGGAGCGCTGGCTGCCGCCCAGCTCCGCGCTGGCTCTTGGTGGCACCGACACACACACACTCCGGCCCGACGAGAGGCCACAAAACCCAGGGACAGGTCGCAAAGCCAGGTAACTGGTGCCGGAACTCGCAAGGAAAACAAGGTCAGGCGAGATAGCGTCGGGCGCGGTGGGAGCCGTGTGGGGACGCTGGGTGGAGGGCGGGCATTTCCAAGCAGCGGCATGAAAGGGAGCTGTCAGGTCACACCGGGAACAAAGCGCCCTGCAGAAACGGGCGGCGCACCGCGGAGGGAGCGCGTTCCCGCACGTACACGGAGAATAAATAATGTCACAAAGTCAACAGCACGGGCGGACGGCGGCGCGGCCAGGCCGGGCCTGGCACCAGGCGGGCCACCGTGATACGGGCGATTTCTTTAAAAAATAAATAAAAAAATAAAAGCAAATAGAAACTTGTATCAGAGCAGACAAGAACAAAGTCACCCCAAGGTCACCCGAAGTGCTACCTGTAGGGCTCGTTCACCCTCTAACATCTGAAAGCCACCTACTGATTAAACAGTCCGGGCCTTTTCGAGTGCGTCAGACAAACACCCTTAAATTCCTCTCCCGCGCAGCCCGGCGGGGGAGGCGGGACCGGCCGCTCTGCCAAAGCCAGTTCCACTTTACAGCCACAAAACTCACCGGTCACGTTTCCTGACACAGGCCCCCCTTGGCTCCAAAGCGCTCTGGGCCACGGAGCAGCACGTGACACGGCCGTGGGGGGCTGTGACTCCAGCTCTCGCCCCCTCCAGCCCCCTGGTGCTCCCTGGGCCTGACCAGCCGGTCCTGAAGGTGACCCGGACGTAAGCCCCACATGCTGCCCCACTGCCTCTGGACGGCAGGGGACACACCAGCTCCCGTGCAGCAGCTCGCCAAGCTGCGGCTCCCACCCTGTGGGACGTCATGACTCTGCTGCACCTGTCCCTTTGTCCCTTCACAGCTCTCCGCTCAGGCTCCCGTGTCCCCTGCATCTGTGACAAGGAGCCACACACAACCCTGGGAGTTACTGGGAACCTCACTCCACCCAGCTGTGGCCCCTGCTGGGACCCACCCTCTCCTTGGGGAGGGACGGGCACCCTCCACTTTGCGGGATGTGGCAGCCTCTGACCCCTGCCGTGTACAGGGCGCATCCAGGCAGCCTCGGCGTCCTTGGCAAGGGCTGCAAATGTGGTGGCCCCAGGGGAGGTGCTCAAGGGCTGCTGCGGACACGAGAGCCCCCAAGGGTGCACCTGTGCACCCTGCGTCTCTAGGGAGCAATTTCTACGGGAAGTGCGATGTTGGGAGACGACAGCGCATCGCGCACGAGAGCAAACGCACACCTGATTTCTTCCCTCGCTCTGCACAGGAAACTGAGGCACAAACAGTTTGGGGATTTTCCAGAGCCACAGAGAGGTTAGGAGAGGTGGTGGAACGAGACGCGAGACCCTGCCCCACCCCATCCCCTGCTGTTAGGGACACGGCTGCCCGGCCACTTGGGGTCCCCGGCTGTCCTTCGGCTGTTTGCTGTCCTGGAACTGACGCACTGCTCAGCACTTTGGGGGTGCAAAACCCCAGCAGGGGTCTGAGTTTGCTTTCCTGCCTTCTACCCAGGCAGGGCTTCTGCCAAAAATGCCACCGAAAAGTGGCTTGTGGGGCTGGCCGGGAGGCTGGGGCCCGTGGGGACAGATGTTCTGCGGGGCTCTTGGTCCCCACCAGACCACCTCGGCAGCCTCTGAAATCAGGGCCCGGTGACCCTTGTGGCGTGAGCAGGACACCCCAGACGCCCCAGCTCGGAGCCGGCCCAGGAACACCTTTGGAGACGTCAGCACCCTGACACCTGCCTCACCCAGCATGCGGGCTCCAGAACCCTCGGGGCTGGAGACATTTAGACAGCAAGACGTCCCTTCCAGGCAGGACGGGGCTTGTGCCCCCAACCTCGAAGCTGGGGTTCCTCTGAGCAGCTTGCTGACCAGGGCAGCTGGGCAGAGGACCGGGCATCGGTGAGCATGGGGCGTCCGCAGCAGCGTGGCCACCGGGCACGTTTTGTGGGCTGTCCCCTGCAGTGAAGCCTGGAAGGAAGCCGCCTGCTCTTGGACATCCCATTAATCTCCCTGTTCCGCCGCAACGGCAGTGTTAGCACCTACGATCCGACGCGTAGCACGGGGTATTTTAAGACATGAGCTCATGAGAGACACGTTTCTGGGCAGAGAGCAGGCACAGCCTGGGGGGCCGACAGGCACCTGCGCAGACCCCTGATGCTTTCTGAGTCACAGCACGTGAGCTGCAGGATAAAACAAGCCGGGAAATGGGACATGAGAACGCTCTCCCGACCGAGCCTCCTGCCCCGGGCAGTGACTTCACACACTGACTGAACACAGACACGCGGCCGTGACCAATCGCGCCCAGACGCAGTGCTCACCTCCCATCCGAAGTCTGTCTCTTTCAGTGCGGTCCGCGGCGCCGCCAGGAAGGGGCCAAACCTCTCCCCGACCTCCAGCTTCCTCCTGGCCCAGATGCCCAGGCCGGCGCCGGGCACGGAGGACTCTCGGAGCTCGAAGTCTGGTGGGACTGGAATGTCTTCGGGAATGTAGACCGGGGCCTCGTAGGGCGAGCCCTCCTTGGGGGTGAAGTCCTCGCTGGTGGGGACGGGTGACATGACACTGTCCTCAGTCTCGTCCTCAGCACTGTGGCCGGCCAGCAGATCCGGGTCGGGCTCATACATGTTATTTACAACGTCACCGTCACCTGAAGGAGACAATGCAGGGTCAGCCTCTGCAGCAACCCCTGCCCATGTGAGGCTCAGGGACCACCTGGGACAGGGCCCTGTGGGGACCAAGGGTGCACAGAGGCCCAGAAGGCCCCCGGCTGCCAACCCTGCCCGGGAGAGGCTGCCTCTGCTCCACCCCGCGCCAAGCTGCCCTCCCTGGATGCCAGAGGCTCCCGAGGACGAGATCCCGGCAGGCTCCTCGAGGGACCAGCGTTCGTACTGGGGCAGCACAGCCTGGTCCTCCCCACGGGCCCTGCAGCCACCCAAGGGCACTTGGATGGGTCCTGCTTTAGGAGGACCCACCTGCGCTCGCAGGCCGGCCCCGAGCCAGTGATGACATATTGCTCCTAAGCTGTTCCCATCCTCACCTATGGCCTCGGCAATCAGGGAACAGAGCAGTGTCCTGCGCTCTTAGGAGTGCTCGGAATTTAGGCTACTGTGAAATTGGCCCAGAGCTACTGGCCCGCACCCAGGCCACTCTGGGCACCACATGGGGGCCTCTGGGGCCACTATGGCCTCAGGGAGGGTCTTACGACCTCGTGGCAGGTTCGGAACAGGCCTACTGAGGTCGTGAACATGGGATTCCTGGGGCTGCAGGTCACCCGACTGAGCAAAAGAAAAGGGTCCCCAGTTTGCTGATTTGGGACGGGTCTTCCTTAGAGTCTGTCCTGAGAGAAGTTTGGTGCCAAGATAGCATGGCCTGGAACTACACCAGAGGATAGCATGCGGCACGGGGAGGGGACAGGAGGGCGAGGATGGCGTCAGACCATAAGGAAAGCAACTGTGCCCCTAGGCCTCTACCCGAAAGCACTGCACGGGGATGCCGACAGGTGAATATTTGCAATCACCAAAAGGTAGAGGCAGCCATGTGTCCATCAGCAGATGCAAAAATGAACAAGTGGTGTGAAGTCCAAATAAGAGAATCGTGTCTTCCCGCCTGGGACGGAGCCAAGCTCTGACACCTGCTACGACCCAGGTGGGCCGAACACATGACGTCCAGGGATGAAGCCACACACACAAGGCCACACACTGTCTGACTCTATTTCTACAAAATGCTCGGAGTCGGCAAATCCCTGCGGACAGGTCACAGGCTGGAGGTGGCGGGGCTGGTGGGGGAGCGGCAGGGACCGCTGTGGCGCAGGGTCTTGTGCGGGTGGTGGAGCACCCGGTGCTGGGCAGAGGTGGTGGTTGCAGGACGTGGGGAGTGTGCTAAATGCCACCGAACTGCTCACTTTAAAGTGATCACTTTTGATGTGATGTGAATTTCACCTCGATAACATTAAAAAGGGCAGGAAAGAGGGAGGAACAGGCAGGGGTGGGGATGGGGGGTGGCAGCGGTGGCCAAGTTACCCAGCACCTCCTGCTCCCATCTGGAGCTTTCCGCCCGATCCCCCTTCTGCCGCCCGTCTGAAGACCTGTGAAAGTAACCAGCCGGGTCCTCCTGGCCCTCGTGTCCGGGCCCCCTCGAGCTGCCACTGGGGGAGAGAAGCCTCTGCAGGGAGACGAGAACTTCCAGGTACAAGAAAAATGGCTTCAGATTCCTCATGCTGGTTGCAAACGGATCAGCGCAAGAAATAACAAGATGTTTTCTTTCAAAAGAAACCAAAGTCTTGGGGGGAAGAAGTCCCGGGGACAATACTTATTTAACTTAGCAGCCTTCACAGGAGTAATTATTACGTTTTAAGTGGCCGACGGTTCCTTTTTAATTGACTCGTAGGATCCTTTCAGAAAGGCAACAACAGAACCGCAGCTGTTGTTCCCTCCACCCTAAAGATCCGAGGTTGTTTAGGTTTGAAAGGAACCCCCGCCCCTCGCAAACCTTCCCGTCAACTGTGTGCCGAATAAAGGTGAATTAGGAGGGGGTCATTAACATGACGCCTTATTACTGGGAACCGGGAACTGTGGATCTCGGAGTGCGCAGAGTCAGGGTGGAAGCCGAGGCGCCCACGACGCCGCCCGTCACGCCAGGGTCGGACGCCTCTGCCCCCGGGGATGGCGAGGGAGCAGCGCCCGGTCACTCCTGAGTCCTGCTAGAGCCCAAGTGTATCTTCAGCCAGGGGCTCCTTTTTAAAAATGTTTTCTTTTTCTGTTTGAATTCTACTTCCCAAAACCCTTCACCCACTAGAGGAAAATCAGCGCTCTAAGGGCACGTTTAATTTACCGGCCGAGCGAACGGCACAGCAGACAAAGGTGGTGCTTCCTGCTGATTAAAGGCAGGTCTGCGCCCTGGGCCCCCGGTCTCCCACCCCCGGCGGTCACCGGGGTTAAGCGATTGCCTGCAGCCTCCAGGAAAGACCCGGATCTCCATCTTGCTGCCCCCTGCTGCGGAGGAGAGCTCTTTTTTCAAGGGTGGGAGGAGGGCTAGTTAGTGTGCAGAAAACATTTTGAGGAAATGGGGTGCATGGAGTAGCCTCAAATACTCTGGAGAAAGCAGAGCCTGCTGGGAGGCTCCAGGGGCACCCTGCACAAATCTCGGGGCTCCCCAGGGTCCACAGGGCGACCAGAGGTATGGGGTTTAAAGATCGGCCCCCACAGGCACGCGCTTCAGCCAGGATGCCCTCCGAGACGGCAGGCGCCTGCCCGGCCCCTCTGCCTGCTGGACGGGCTCGCTCTGGAAGCAGGCGTCGTCTCACCCAGGCCCCCGGACCCTGCCACCCAGGCCTCCATGACAGCAGGTGCGTTTTTGGCTGGCACCCTCTCGAAGGTAAGAATATAGCACCGAGACCGTGAGTTTTTCATGACTTTGGACGTATAGGCTGGGCAACAGTATGCACGGACTTGTTGGGAGACCTGGCGTCCTTTATTTGAGTTTTGCAGTGGAGTTATTCTAGGGGGTCAGGACAGAGGTCATCGTTCCTAAAATTTCTTTGGGGAGACCTACCAAAACGATAAAAGCAAGGAGGGGAGGGTGCCCAGACTCGGCCAGCAGGTGAGCTGAGCCCCTGCGCCTTGGCCAAGGCCACCACGCGGGCCCAGGAAGCACCTGCTGCCGGCGCCGGGTCCCAGACACGTCTGTTCTTGGTGAACTTTGTGCCGAGACCCCTTTTGGAGTCTTGTCACACACAGGTCCATCAACACACTCGTCGTTTGGTCTCATAATACAGGTCAGAGACGTGATAAAGCCTGCTGCTCCCCGGGCTGGGGTGGAGCTGGCTGGGAGCTCGGTGTCCTCAGCCCCTTGCCCAGCCCCAGCTCCCTCCACCCTGGTTTAGGGCTGTGTCTCTTCCAGCCTCACAAGGGGAGACCTCTGCTCCCTCTCACCCAGGCTGTAGGACAAATCCCTGAACAGGAGCCACCCCCACCATCTCCACGGAGAGCCACATTTCAAAAGCAAATCTATGGGCCGAGCGCGGTGGCTCACACCTGTGATCCCAGCACTCTGGGAGGCCGAGGCGGGAGGATCGCTTGAGCTCAGGAGATTGAGACCAGCCTGAGCAAGAGCGAGACCCCATATCTACTAAAAATAGAAAAATTAGCCGGGCATGGTGGTGCACCTGTAGTCCCAGCTACTCAGGAGGCTGAGGCAGGACGATCCCTTGAGCCCAGGAGTTGGAGGCTGCTGTGAGCTACGATGATGCCACTGCATTCTAGCCTGGGCAACAGAGTGAGACTCTGTCTCAAACAAACAAAAAAAAGCAAACCTATGGCCAGGGTTTTGGGGTCTAGAGAGAGAGAAGAGGCCGCAATCGGAAGCACTGTGCTCAACCACACAGCCAGCAGGGGGTCCCTCCCTCCCTGTCCACTCTCCATGGCAGTTATTAGCGGCATGAAGCCCGCTGGCCCCTTCCCTGAAACCCGAGCTCGTGGCTGCCGTTAGCGGGACGGGCAGGTTTAAGCCTTGATCCTCAGACAGTGGGAACGCGAGGGGATGTTTCTGCATCGATACCTGCTTTGCTGCGGTTCCCCCGTATCGTGTGGGGAGGTTTTGAGGAGAAGCCTTTAGACCCACAGGCACCACCTGCAGCAAGAAATCGTAGGGGCAGTGGCGGATGTGTGGGGTGTGGCTGGGAGTGCGCGTACAGGGGACGGGCAAGGCAACTTCGGCAGACCCCGACCACCATGTGGCCCCTGGGTGGGGAGACGCCACTGTCTTCTGCCCGTCTCAGGGTGAGGGGCCGAATCACGGGGCCCATTTGCCTTCCTTCTTTGAGCACGAGGTAGCGGGTGTCCAGGCCTGGCCAGGGTCCCCTGAAGCATCCAGATGCCTGCCTGGGGCGTCACCCTGGGTGGCCCTGTGGGGCACAGGTCGGCGGGGTACACACACCTGTCCTCAGGGCCACTGCGGGCCAGAGCCTGCGCCTCCCTCTGGGAGCTCAGAACCGCCTCTCCGGCCCACTGCCCTCCCAGGACACCAGCACCCGCTGCGGGACGGTGCTGCCCCCGTTCCTCCCTCTGGACACGGCTGCCCGGCCTCTCCAGCCCACGAGTGAGCACGCCTATGCCAGCCTGCAGGGCAGCAGGCCCCAAGCTCCCACTCCTGCCCCCCTCATCTTTTGCACCTTGACCTGAGAGGCACTGTCTGGCGTCTGCAGGGCCACCCTTGGGAATAAGAAGACAAGCCAAGTGGAGAGGGACTGGCCAAGTGGCCACCATCAGGGACAGAAAAGAGAGCACTTTGCAGAGTGTTGGGGCTGAACAGGACGACTTGAACTGTCACCGGGGCTGGGACAGCTCTGTGTCCTGAGCGTGGGGATGCGAGGACCCCCAGGGACACAGAGTGAACACACGTGAGCACCAGCCACCCGGCATCTCCCACACCCACGAGCACAGGAGCCACTGGGAGGACAAAGGGGCCTCTCTGCTGTTCCTGACACCCGCGTGCGCATCTGCGGTGATCCTGGTGACAATCTCAGCGAGAGAGAGCCCACTGCAAACAATGGCTCTTTACCTGCACACAGTGAGGCGTGACAGCGCGGGCACTGCCAGTTCACGGGAGAACACGCTTCGTGGTCCCCGTCCGGCTCAGAAGAGCTCGCCC